CCAATCTTTTCTATTTGCATTCTCAGTAGTAATCTTGGGGAAAATCCAAATACAGAGCTGAAATTCTATTTTGAACCTAAAGTTTGCTTGAATGAATGACAGGAGGCAGAAGATTTTACAGCACCGGAAGTCCCTTCCTATTGCTTTAGGTTTACTATCTTTCTTACTAGTTCTAAGTTTTTATGTTACAAAATATGCTTATTTATTTTTGTTCACTTTATTTCTTAGTTGAGAAACGACTTGTTGATGAGGTTCGAAAGAATAACACTTTGATTATTGTTGGAGAAACTGGAAGTGGGAAAACAACACGTGAGTTTTGCTGCCCTTTTTTTTTTTTTTTTTTTTTTTTTTTTTACTTTGACAACATTTCTGGTTTGTTTCCGATAAATTGGAATAAAGAAAAGACTTAAGTGACATTATGAATTTTTGATGATATTGTGATGTGTGCTTCGTGTGTTGTATATATATGTAGAGTTGCCTCAGTTCTTATTTAACGCGGGATTCTGTGGTTACGGGAAAGTTGTTGGGGTAACACAGCCTAGACGTGTTGCTGCTGTAACTGTTGCAAAAAGGGTAGCTGAGGAATGTGGTGTTGAGTTGGGGCAGAAAGTTGGGTATTCCATAAGGTTTGAAGATGTGACTTCCAGCTCAACAAGGTTAAAGTATATGACTGATGGTCTACTGCTTCGGTAATCTCTTATCTGTTTGTTTGTTAATCATCCATGTGCCAGAACAATTTTTCTTTGCATTTATATGACTGACGATTGTGAGATTACAAGGAATACAAGGGAGGACAGTGTGGGGGAGTAAATGAAGGTTTTAGGATTTAGTTTGAAGCTAGGTAGAGGGCTTAAATGAGTTGTAAATGGATCAGCCATTCTTTCTAGTATAAATATTTTCTTCAACGGAAAGGATATAGGTTGGTTTCGATGATATTGTTCTAGCAAAGATAGGTTGAGATGGTCTCTAATATGAAAATCATATTATTTGTAAATTTTCATATGACTTTTTTTTTCTGTACTTGTTAAACCCTTATTTCTTTAAGTAGGTCTTCCCTAATATTAATTTTGGCCCACTCACAGGGAAGCTTTATTGGATCCATACCTCTCTAGATATTCAGTGATAATTGTTGATGAAGCTCATGAACGAACTGTTCACACTGATGTATTGCTTGGCTTGCTGAAAAAGGTACAAAATGCTAGGTCTAGATCTGCCAAACACGATCTTAATGTTGGTAAGTCAAATGATGGTACCTCAGTCATGGAGAAAGAAAATGACAATCTGTGCAAAGGTACTGACAAGCAAGGCCAAGGTGGAAAATTTCTACCTTTGAAGTTAATTATCATGTCTGCTAGCTTGGATGCACGAGTTTTTTCTGAGTACTTTGGGGGTGCAAGAGCTGTTCACATTCAAGGGCGACAGTTTCCTGTGGAAATACTCTATACACTTCATCCTCAGGAGGATTATTTAGATGCAGCTTTGATCACCATATTCCAGGTTGTTGTTACCACTCATTATAGTGTTTCATGTTGTAGTTCTGTTTGCAGGTTTTCTAATTTAATATCCAGTTCAGTGCCGGTTGATTTTGTTTTCAAAATAGTGTTTGGTTAGAAAAGGTTAGTAGTTGGTTTATTTATTTATGTATTTATGCATGCATGCATGCATTTTGTGAGCAGATTTTCAGCTCTTTCTTGATTATTTTAACGAAGTGGCCTACAATGTTTCAACTTTATATGTTTTCTGATATATGGTAAAATATAGTATCTACATGTTCTTTGGTATGTACTCTAACATTTGGTCAACCCATGTTCTGTCCCCATACATTAAACCAAATAATCTTCTCTTCCATACCTCATTAAGGGTACTTCTACAGTATAAAACTTTGACTGCTTATTTGGGCTTGTTATTGTCTTATATTAATTATAGGGCTTCTTTTATTTGCCTTACATTACTAGATTCACATGGAAGAGGCTCCAGGTGATATCCTTGTTTTTCTGACCGGGCAAGAAGAGATTGAATCTGTTGAAAACATTATTCAGGAACGACTTCGGCAGTTACCTGAGGCTAGTCGAAAACTGCTTACTGTTCCTATATTTTCTTCTCTTCCTTCAGAACAACAACTACGAGTTTTTACGCCAGCTCCACCAGATTTCCGTAAGGTAACAATTTATGCATGAACTGGTAGTAGGTCTTTTTTTTTTTTTTGTATAATAAAAAAAAACCTGGTTGTTCTTAGTATAATATTTGACATAATCACAAGCTTTTATCCTGATGCTCACTGCTGTTTTCTAACCAAAAGAAGACTCACTGGGAAATATTTGTTATGGTTAGTCCAGATAAATTTTATAATCACAATTAGAGACAGAAAGTGATCTATTTCCATGTTATTGAAGGTTCACATTTGGTTCTCTTGTACCCTGATTATTATGTTAAAACTCATCTATCCTTAGGGATTTGAATGTTGGTTTATGAGAGAATAAATTGGAGGATGTTCTTTGTGCTAGTAAGGTTTTTACTTAGTTTGATGAACAACTTAACTCTCATTGGTCAACAACTGTGCCTATTTTGTTTCCATTAAGTTCCTTTCAAAGCACATACCTAGCTACTAGGAAGGATCTCTGACTGCCTTCAGGGCTGGATTTTTTATTATCTTTCACCTTTGTTATTAATGCATTTTTCTATGAAAATTCTCTTGTTCATGTTGGAACTAGATTATACACATCTACATTCTTCATTGCACTAGATGTCTGGGAGGGCAACATATCAATTCCAGGTATATGGTTTACAAATTCAACATATTTCACTCTTTTAGTCAAAAGAAAAAACGATGTTACTCTTCAAGGAATCTTTCTAAAAAGAATGAAGGAAAAAAACAGAAAGAGAAAAGGATAATGCTTCACAAGTAGATGAAATAGTTGTTAAAGACCCCCACCGCCCACACTGAGAATTGGATCAAAGACTACTTGTTTATAAATAGTGTCCTTCTCATTGAATTCTGGAAATGATAACATTGTTGATAATTGATGATAGTGGTTCCGCTTACCTTATGGTAGCATTGGATGGTGTTGAATGGAGATTTGATGCCACACTTACCATTGCTGTGGTGTAACTATTTGTTTACAGCTTTTATAATATCATTACTTCATATTTTCTTCATCTAGCAATCTAAGTTGTGTTGCATGTTTGCCTTTTTCAGTGTTTCAAAAGGTGCTCGACCTTCTTTATTTGTTTTAATGAAAAAAAATTTAAACCATGCCTTTTTATTTTTAATTTTTTAACAAATAAAGATTAAACAGCATTGTTTGGTTATTGATGATTTAATGGAGCAAAAAAAACCCTAAGTTGGCCAACCTCAGTGCAGTCGCTCTTCTTCCCTAAATTGGCCAATCTTCTTCTTCTTCTTCTTCTTTGATTCTAAACTTTTAGTTCTGTTGATTAATTGATTTTAGACCTCTAAATGAATTTTTTTTCTACTTTTTAAGTTTTTATATTTTTTGACATTTTTAAAAATTTTTTTCCCAAAATTTCTGAATTTTTGAAATTTTTTGAAAAAAAAAAATAAGATTGGTTCACAATTTGCTTGGGTGGTGGGCGGAGGCTTGCCACCTAGAGGCACCCAGTGCTGCCCAGTGCCTTCAGCAACTTTGCCTTCCTTTTTTTTTTTTTTTCTTACTTGTGAGAATAGTACAGTCTGTTTAAATTTCACTATTCTGAAGCTTATTCGTACATTTTTATTACACATCATCTTACTAGTAGGTTCTTTCTTAAGTAGCTCAACAGTTTATTGCTCTTCCACTACATGTTCCTTGCATTAAGCTGTATTCACTGTGCATCCGTCTAGTACATTCTACTGCTTTTTTATGAGCCTTTGTTGGTTCATTTGTGCCCGACAACCGTTTTTCTGCTAGGCATTGTCTCCCATATTCCATAAATTTCTTTGTATGAAAATTGCTCATTGTAATTGCTTTTGTTTTCTAAGTGCATTCTAAGTACTTGAACTGAAAAGGTATCTTGCCACAAGGATTCTCAGGTGCAAGAACTCAAACTTTAGCACCTTGGATTAAAATGCCTGTATTTGAGACTGCTTTAACTGAGAAAGTTATCATTGCCAGTTAAGGCCCAACTTTTCTTGTTATTCTTACCTAATCCTTAATTCATGGGCCTCTCTGTACCGGTCGATATGATTCAATTGAATGGTATGACAGATTCCCACGTGATATTATATATTCAAAGATGGTTGTTGTCCTGCTGCTGCAGGGTGTGAAGAATAGTCTATGTTATTTATGATTCTATTATTGTTTTGAATATTTACGAATTAGCTTATTATCTATTATTTAATTATTATTATGAATATCTACGATTCTGTTATTTTTTATGAATATTGATGTAATTAGGGGAAATTATATTGGGTTAAGGATTTGATTTAATTTCTTGTTCTGTTTAAACTTGGATATCTTTCATTAGGTTAAGCAGTTTATTTTGAATTAGATTATTGCTTCCAAAAACCTGTTTCTTCTTTTCTCTTCTCATCCTTACTTCTAATTTATCATTTTATCTCTTGGTTCTACATTACTCATTTTGCTCCTAGGTTCTTATCTTCTTCTCTTTTTAGTTCATTAATAATTTCAGCTGGTAAGATATATTTTTGTAGTAATTTATCTGAATGATCAATTAACCTTGTCAATGCTATTTCTTTTTTAAGGTAATACTGGCAACCAATATTGCTGAGACATCAGTGACAATTCCTGGAATTAAGTACGTTGTAGATCCTGGATTTGTAAAAGCCCGCTCTTATGATCCAGCCAAAGGAATGGAATCACTGATTATAGTTCCAACTTCTAAAGCCCAAGCTCTTCAAAGAAGGTAGAACTGAGATTCATGCTTAGCTATATGTGATTTGATTTATTCAGGTATTCAAGTCTCTTTCATTGGGTGGTTTACAAAGACTCAAGTGAGTTATAACTGGTGCCAATTTTCTAGTATTCTAAGAAAGTACAAGTTCATTGATTTGATATAAGAAACTATGTTTGGAAGACTTTTATGGTTATGATTAGAAATGCTTTGATAAAGGTACAGACAGTTAATCTGATTCTTTTGGAAAAATATTGTGGCTCTTACTATCTTGCTATAGTGGACGTGCAGGGCGTGAAGGACCTGGGAAGTGTTTCCGTCTTTATCCAGAAAGTGAATTTGAGAAACTTGAAGATTTGATAAAGCCAGAGATTAAGCGGTGCAACCTTTCAAATGTCATACTGCAGCTCAAGGCCCTTGGTGTTGATGATATCTTTGGATTTGACTTCATGGAGAAACCATCAAGGTAAAATAGTATGGCTTTCCATAAGTTCTACTTTTCTGCAATTATTATATACTGTACATGTTGTGGATTAGTTACTATTAGAGTAGAATATTGCATTGACAAAAAAAAAAAAAAAAAGAGTTTTGCATATTTCATATAAGAGGTGAATAAATAAGAATATGAAGATGTTAAAAGATTATGAGTGGTTATAGGAATCTTGTTCCACGTGTCATTTTCTAAAACCCAGGGCAGCCTAGAGATCTGGCTACATATAATGGAGATTGGTGGGTCACCAATATGGTTTTATTTGAAACTTGGTTATGGGAAGGTTGATGTAAGATATAGGTCCTATCAAAATAATATTATTGCATGTCTTACGATAAATCATAATATTAAGCAATTCTTTTCCTAACACCTGTGGTAATTATTGCCTTTGCTTTTTTTGTTAATCTAACTTATATTTTTGGCCTAATTCCTCTGTTTGATTGCCAATTTTCACATTAGTCAGAAAAATTTTAATTCTTATAACCATAATTTGCCCAGAATATATAAGAATTAGCCCAAAAATGTAATGATTTTATTTCCAATTGGCATGCTTTTATTATTTAGTGAAGAATAACCTTGTATATAAATTTCAAAATTTATCAGGGCAGCTATTGTGAAGTCATTAGAGCAATTATTCTTGCTCGGTGCTTTGACAGATGATTGCAAATTGTCAAATCCAGTTGGTTGTCAAATGGCACGACTTCCCTTAGATCCAATTTATTCCAAAGCTCTCATACTAGCCAGCCAATTTAACTGCTTGGAAGAGATGTTGATAACTGTTTCAATGCTCTCAGTTGAATCTATATTTTATGCCCCTCGTGGGAAAATGGACGAGGTATATGCAAGTCAATTCCATCGTCTTTAATGGTTTGTATGTTTCACCTGGTTTTTTGCTTTAACAGTGAAATGATAGTAAGACTGATGAGTTCCTCTTAAGTTTTATCTTTTGATAGGTCCAATTGTAAGTATGTAACCAAGAACAACATTTTTTTGGCATAAAATCTAGTTTGGTTTGGTTTGGTTGAGCTATCATATCTGATAACCACGAGCATTTCATGCAAGGGACATTGATACCATCTTCAAACAGAAATATTGTCCTTGAACTGGATTAATGATGCAACTGTAGGATATTTGTAGGGGTGAAAACTTCTAATTGTACCTTATATATTGTGGAACTTTTCATCATTGCCTGTTGTCCTTTGTTTGGTATAATGGTAAAGGGTTATGGATCACACTTGACACTGGGTAATCACCATATTTCTGTTTTACTTTTATCTCACAAAAAAGAGGAAAATCATGGCCATTTAGTGTACAAAATTTTGTTAGCATCTTCTATGCCAACTTTTATCTCTTACATTGTGTTAATACCAACTGAAAAACATTAAAAACTTCTCCCTCTTGGTTAGGCACGAACTGCAATGAAATGTTTTGCAAGTCCAGATGGAGACCATATTACTTTGGTCAATGTTTATCGAGCATATGATGAGTTTTTTGTGAAAAGAAAGTTGCAGCTAGGAAAAGACAAACATGGAAAGGTTTTGAGGAAATGGTGCAAGGAAAACTATATTAACAGCCGTTCACTAAGGCATGCCCGTGACATCCACAGGTTGGCTATATATTTTTCTTCCTAAAGCATTTGGTTCAAATTTTTGGAAAGTTGATTGCAATCTAATTTTTCCATATCAGGCAGCTTGCAATTCTTATTCATTTTTCATTTTTCATTTTTCCATATTCAAAATGACCGTAACTAAGCTCATTAGGTGCTTTATTACAGTCAAATTCATGGACACGTTCAACAAATGGGTCTTTGTATTTCTTCTTGTGGAGATGACATGTTACAGTTCCGCAGATGCCTTGCTGCTTCATTTTTCCTTAATGCAGCTGTAAGACAGCCTGAGGGAACATACAGGTACTGGCTGCACCTTGTTATTTGTTTTGAAATGAGAAGTTCTTTCAGGTTTCCTTGTTACTGATTCTGAAGGATATGTTCTTTTTAAGGTTTTGGCATTAATATTGTAAAGTTTCAAACACAAACCCATGCCGAACCGTCAACCGAAGGTCATATTTGGTCCCCATAGTAATGCATTTGGGTGAATTTCATACATGAAACTGGAGTTTGGTAAATCTAGTCTCTACATTCTTAAAAATGTCCTGCCGAGTTCTTCCACTATGTTAACTTGAGATTATTTCATTAACTTGGAGTGCAGTTATTTTAGTTGACAGGGAAAAAGTAGGCCTATGCCTACTTTCAAAGAAAATAAAACTTGACCCTTAAAAATAGATACCTTCCTTTCACTTTTCAAGCATTGGCAACACAATAGCTAGCATTCAGCTCCTTATGTATCTACCTTGTCTGCATGTGTGAGTGTAAGTGATTGTATTTTTTTTGTAACCTGTTCTCCTATCCAGGGCAGAAACAAATTTCTGATGTTTAAAGTTTTTGCGACTTTCTTGGTTTTCTTTTTTAATATCTCCACCAAGAGAACACAGTTTTCATCTTTTTATGAAAAAACAAAATTAGGAAACTAAAAACTGAAGTAACATCTAAAATATACCTTTTTTTAGCATTTCTGACTTCTCCAGTAATCTTAGTTCTATTTCTTCTTCTTATTTGTTTATTTATTTTCACATCACCAGACCTAAATTTCCCTGGTCAAATGGCAGGACACTGGCAAGTGGTCAGATTGTGCAGATCCATCCGACATCTGTTTTATTTCGTTCAAAACCTGAGTGCATAGTCTTCAATGAGCTTGTCCAAACAAGTAATAAGTACATCCGTAACATAACAAGAATTGATTTCTTGTGGTTGACTGAGTTGGCTCCTCATTATTATTCCATGCAAGATTAAAATCTCTGCTTGTTAGGAACAGGTAATACGCTTTGCAAATTCTTCTATATTCGTCTCTTGATCATGTTATTAATTATGCTGTTACAAATAATGTTATACTTTTTTAAGTGGACTGGTTCATTTTGGATGAATATTGACCGGGACAAAGTGGAAAGAATAATAATGGCGTCAAACCTTACATGATTTATTCTAGGATTAATGGCTGTGGAGGACCCCTTTTTCTTAAGAAATGTTCAATTTAGTCTTAAAGTGTCAAAACTTTCAATTCTACCATGTACTTGATGTCTTGTGTACATTCAAGTCTTCTTAATCATTTTGGTAAAATTTGCATTATATAATACTAAAAGAATAAAAAATATGGACATGACATTTTTTTCATGGTGGTTAAATAAAACGATCTTCAAATTTTGTAAAATATTACTTGATTAAATATTTTAATAATCAAATTAAATAAGAACTAGTTAATTAAAGTTGTCTGACTGAAAATTTATTAATCAAATATTGAAGTTAATATTATACCAATTAAAATGTAATTATATAAAAATCAATAAAAAATAAATGTAATAAAATGAAAAACAAGATAGAAAGAGAGACAGTTTAGGTAGAAGTATCAGCTGATGCTCCTGGGTTAGAGAGGAATCTTGGTGGTGCTCCCTCTCAGTTTGGAGCACGCTTAAGTGCCATATCTTTCTAACTGTGCTCCACCTGATGTATGAAGTACCAATTTTGGTGGTCCAAGTGGATGGATAGATACCATTGGCACTCCTTGGGAGCAATGGTTCAATGTCCCATTTTGATTTTGATTGTTTAATGTAGACTTGGTTATTAGTTGAAAAAGGATATTAATTTCAAAATAGTAATTTTTTTATTTGGTATTATCTTTTCGAATGAAACTAAATAAAATTTGTGTTGTTTTTTCTTGTACAAAAACTAAAAACCCAACCAAAATAATCAGAAGTTATTTTGGTTTGTTTAATTTGAATTACAGAAAATATTTTAAATTTGTGCAAAAATTCCAAAAATCAAATTGGGTAATTAGGTTGTTTCAGAAATCGAATTGACAAAACTTCAATCAAATTGGGTGATCAAATTCCAAAAATATTTTAAATACTGTCTTTAATCCTTTGATCTACTTTGGGTCCAGCACAAATGCTAGAGCACAATCTAGACCAAAAATATTTTTAAGTTTGTGTTGCTGTGTGTTCGTTATTTTTGGTTTTAGCTTATAGGATTGGAATATGAAATTGATCCAAATTATTGTAATCATCGAGTTGCATTATTCAACTACTACTTTTTGTGATCAGAGTGTGTTGGGCAAAGCTTAAAAAGCACTATTCTTTTCTCACAAAATTGAAATTTTGTTTGAAGAAAATTCAAAAATTATCTTTTAAAGTAAGTTTTAAGCATGTTTTGAAAAAACTACAAAAAAAATTGGATGTGTAGTTTTTTCAAAACTTGCTTAAAACTCACTTAAAAAGCTAATTTTGTCTTTTCCTTCTAACAAAATTTTAAATTTGTTAAAGAAGAATAGTGTTTTTGAAGCAATTGCCTTTTAAGCTTTACCAAACACCCTCTTAGTCTTATTTTATAGTGGTCAAGAACATGAATCAATACTGACGTACAAATCTTCGATGCTGAACATATTTGGTTTCCGTCCTGCGGCAGCAATTTTGGCTAGAGAGCTGTTGTTCTTCGGCTGACTTTTGGGAGAAGCAGCTGTTTGCCAAGAGTTCCTTCAGAAATTAAAGTCGCAGCATGCTTTTCTGGTTTATTCTTGGGGGGCCAAAAATTTTCAAGAAGCTCAGTTTGTGTAAGGCTGTAGTTTTCTGGTTGAAGTTTCCTCAAAATCTCCGAGATGGAAGTTAATGAATGGGATTCTTTGTTATCAAAAGGACTGGGAAACTGCAAAAAAATGGGAAGCTCTTGTGTGGTGTTAATCCTTTTATCTTATTTGAAGGGCTTGTTTGGCAGAACTTAAAAGCAAACTCACATTTTGAGCAAATTCTCTTTTCAGAAATTGTAATTTTATCTTCAAAATGATGGTTGTAGATCTTCAAAATTGATACGGATATAATGTCATGTCATATTATAAATTTATGATATGATATATTGTTACATAATTAGTTTTTTTATTTGAAGATTTATTTATAATATTGTACATATTTAAGTATTTAATAACATATTATAATTATTTAATATCATATTATAATTGTAAACTTAAGTATTATAATTATAATATTAACGAGTTTTTTTACTTATAATGGGTCGGCAACTTTGTAGTGTTGGCGTACAAAGTTTCAATTTTATGAATTTATAATCCTAGTTGCTGAAAATGTCTATTAGTGGCAATAGCACTCCTGGTTTGGCATAATGTGATGGTATAGGTTTGGTTTGGAAGTGTGGTGATATGCTGTTGTTATAGGTTTTCGTGTTTTTTTATTATTTTAAAAATATATAAAATATAAGTTAAAGTTATTAAAATATATAAAATATTAATTAAATTAATTAAAAATAATAAATTTATATTTTTAAATAAATTATTGCATGTAAGATGTATAGAAGATGGAGAAGAATTTTTAAATAAAGTCATAATATTTTTCTCATCGAGAAAAGGAAAATTAGCTCATTCAAATATTCTCTACTAACAAATAAGCCTAGTAAAATTTTGTTGACAAAGCATGTTGAGCTCTTTTGTTGATTTTACCATTGGTAATACGAGGGGAAATCAAATAGAACACCAACATTGGGAAAGCACTCAGCTGAGGTAATTCGATTTGAGATTTAATGAATTCAACTTCAGATATGATTTCTTTTCGTAATGTTATTTGGTTTTGTTTTTATATTTATTCATTTGATGTTTGAGAATTCTGAGATTTTTACTTATTCGATTATTTGGGGATTATCTTACAAAATATATGGTATTATGGTTAAAAGAAATATAAACAACTGATCAAGTTTGTTTTAGGGCTTGTTTGGTTTAGTTTGTGAAAGTTTTTGAATACTGTTATGAATGATAAGTTTAAATTTTTATTGAAGGAAAAATTTTAAAATTACTTTTGAAAATAGGAAAAAGTGAATAAAAATGGAGTTTATGAAAAGTTTAAATTTGAAGTTTTTTAAACTTATGAAACATAAATAGTATCAAAAAGTTGAAGCTCTCATAAGCTCATCCAAACATGGCCTATATAATAAAGGAAGTGAAATAAAGACCTTTAGAAATAAATGCCTTAGAAAAAAGGAGGGAGTGGAGGTTGAGGGAGAGAAGGTGAACACTTAGGGCCTGCTTGGTGTGGCTTGTGAGAGTTTTTGTTTTTTGAGTACTGTTATGAGTGACAAATTAAAATTTCTATTGAAGGAAAAATTTAAAAGTTGCTTTTAGAGATAGTAAAAAGTAAGTGAAAAATGAGTAAAAAAGGAGTTTATGAAAAGTTTAGATTTGAAATTTTTCAGTTTTTCAGTTTTTATTACTTGAGATTTTTTTAAGGTTAAAAAAGAGTTTAAAAATGTAAATTTTTAAAAAGAAAATTTAAATTTATGAAATATGAATAATATTAAAAAGCAGTTACAACAAGTATGGTTATGGAAAGAAGGTTTGTCACTGAACTAAGACATGATCAAGCTTGGTTTTTCCGAGAAATTAGTTTGTTTCAAGTTTGGTTTCTTTGGTAAGAATATATTTCAGCCAAATGAAATGAATGAAATTGGCAACAAGGAGGTTAGCAATCAATCATCTGATCTTTGTAATGCATCTATTTGAAAATGAAGAACAAATACTTAGGTGTTTATCATGTTGTCTTTACATTTGTTGGTCAATGCAATTAATGTCTAGTTAACCCTTTAAGAAGAATCTTATAGACTAATTGTTAAAGTTGAAAATAGGCAAAATGAGAAGCAAAGATTCAGTGCTGAAAAGTCTTATGGCAGTGAAAATGAAAAAAATGCATCACAAACAATTGGGGAAATGATAATTCAGGCTAGAAAGAAATGGTATGGCTAATGTTGGTATGCCAGTGTTTTTGTCTTTTGCTTCTGTGTTTAATATAAATGAGAACTCAATGAAGGATGTCGGGAAAAATTGCACCGAAAGATGATATCACCCAGTAATCCAAAGAAAGTAAGAAACTGTTTATATCACCGATAAAGCAACTGTGCAACTGAAACTCATTTAGTATGTAAAGAATCTCAAGTTTATAAAGGAATCTACTCTTCATTGACTCTTAAATTTTATTTGCTATGTTTAGCAAAAAAGCTGAAGGTTGCGAAGGAGTAGGAACAAAAATAGGCTAAATCCCCTATTTGCACTTTATATATTATTTTTTTCACAATCAACACCCTCTATAATTTTTACTCTTGGTCGACACCTTTCATAATTTGAAATCACCAAAGAAAATCCAACTAGAGACAACAATCAGAGTAGATCAAGTTCACCAAAGAACAAATATAAATAATGACAGTAAAAATCACA